TACAGATCCATAAAAAATTTTATAATACTCACTTTCTCCTTCAAAATTTCGATTTCTAAGACATGTTCTTGCAAAGAACCTATGTTTGATCTTGTTGTTTGTAGATCACCACGAAAAACATGTTGCATGTTCTATAAATGGTGGTGATCCATGAACAAACCAAAGTCAAGAGTAAAGGTGAGCACATGCAAGCCTTATCTAGTACCAAACACCGATTTTTCAAAAGTCTAGTCTCATTTAGCTTGGTTTCATGTAAGATAAAATGGTTAAAAACAAGTATTTGTATAGAATATATTTAATATATTGTTTTTCTATCTCAATCTAAGTAAAAGACAAGGATATCATTAGGTAAAATAGAAGTTTGAACTATGTTTTCATGAGTTTTACTCTTCAACATTCTCTCAGATTTGTTTACTCAAATTTAAACGGTCATAACTCACTCATTTCTTGACCAAATCACTATATTCTTTTTCTGAGGACTATTTCCGTGAGTTACATTTCGATTCCAGTTGGCCTTACTGTAAAACACTAAAATGTGATTTTTGACGATTTTTAGAAAACAGTTGCGCAAATAGTACTTTTCTGTGACCACTAGTTTTGCATTATATGATCAAAGGCCTTAAACTACACAATAAATCTGGAGAAAAATAATTTAGAAACTTAACAAATCAATCACAGAAGACGTAAAATTTCATGAACTAAAATTTCATAGAAGTGCCTACACAAATTCTTAAACTTTCAGTTACAATTTGAAACTCATCCACATTGCATAATTTGTTGGGATTGAATACCCTTGTTTAGCTTCGAAATAATTTTGTACCAATTTTTTTTAAGAAAGTTCATGTTTTCAAGGGATGATCTGTAAAACCCCAAGAGCTAGAACCAAACCCTTATTTTTCTACAAAAATGAGGATTTAATAGCAACAAATTCAAAATAAATACTTAAAGAAGAATTAAAAATCTAAAAACTTATGGAACTGATTTTTATACATAATAATGATGCCCCCTAAATTTGCATACAATTTGGGCACAGTTTGGCATTTTATTCAAAATTTTCATTTAATCAGGGGATTAATTTAGGACTCAAGAGCACCAACCAATATTTTTTCCAGCTTGGGGAACATTATAAGAACCTTTGAAAATTAAATTGGGAATTTTTGCAACTATTTTCTGTTTATTTTGAATTTATCCTATTATTTAGACTTAATCTGCAAATAAATAACAAATGGCCTTCAAAAATTCCTATAAAATTACAAGACACTCATAACCTCTGTTAGAACTAGAATATAATTTTTTTACAAATTTTGGAGTTTATTTTCATGCCTTTATGGATTTCTGAACACAGGGCACCGTGAATTCGATAATACCAATAATGAACCGAACAAACTTTGGGCACTTTGCGACACCACTAGTTGGATAGGTAGATCTTAGATAATGTTTTAGTGAATTATATCTCACTAGAAACTATTTGTTCCGTAGGGCACTAGCAAAAATTGATCTCTACAACATCGAACCGCGAAGCTCGAACCGCAAACTCTCCCTAGTGAGTATTCACAGCCGGCCATTTTACTGTTTTCATGTTTTGGGGTGGAAAGCATGTTATTATATTATGAACTAATAAAACTGTTTTATGAACTTGATGAACTTTGTTTTATGAACTTGCTGAGCCTAGCTTTATGAACTTATTGAACTTGGAACGATCTTGTTTATGAACTTATTGAACTTGGAACAATACTCTTTATGAAATTTGTGTTATGAACTTGTGCTATGAGCTTTTGATATGAACTCTATGTTATGAACTTTGTATGTTAAGTCCCCGAGAACCGAACTACAGCCTATTAACTCGTATTCGAGCCGACAGTCTTATGGATAACGCTATTTGGGGTAGACAACCCTCACTCACCCAGAACTGTGAGTGCATATTTCCGTGAACTGTCATCATGGGAACCATAGACATGATGGAATGGGGCAAGAACTGTCGTTAGGCTTGGTTGTTAATGGAATGCTTTCGCATTCAACACTTATTTTGGGTTGGAACTTTTGTTTAACAAATCTATATTTTCTTACTGAAATGATGTACCTTTATAAACCTGTAAACTCACCAACTATTTTATAGTTGACCCTCCTTTTTGCATGCTTTTCAGGGGATGATCAGTGATCTAAATTACACACTACTACAAAATGAGTCTAATGCAACCTTTTAGATGCAACCTTTTAACAATAGTTGCATTTGATTATAAAGAAGATTCTGTCCAACAAAAAGGTTGCATTAAAAGATTTATTGCAACCTTTGTTTATAAAAGTTGCAAGTTATATTAAAAATTGAAACTTTTATTAAAAAAAAGTTGCTAATTATATTTAACATTGTAACTTTTTCCTAAAAGGTTGCGAATTTAATTAAAAATTGCAACTTTTATTACAAATGTTGCATTGTTAAGAATGCAACTTTTAGTATAAAGGTCCATGTTTTATAATTTTGCAATATAAATCGTAAAATAAAATAAACAAAATTTAATTAAAACATTGCTATATATAATTTAAATATAACATCCAAGATATTAATTATTATTATCAAATAAACATCAAATTTTCTTTAAATATATTTTTCATATATTTATATATATGACCTAATTTCATTTTCCCTCTCAATAAATAACATTTTATTTTAATTCCTGCAATTTTTTTAGTTTCCAATAGGGAGTTGATATATCAACTTTTTTATTTTATCCTTCCACTTAATAGAAAATTAGTTTTCCAACTATACCCTTTTTGTTAAATTAGAAAAAATATGAAGAGAGAGAAAAGAATCAGAAACGGCTTTAGCTAATATCCTTCCTAATCTGCTTTCAAGAATCCCGTTCTTTTATCGCCGTTCGCCGCTCCTTCTTCGCAGGTCACTGATCACGGTCCTTCTTCACCTCTCGCCGGCCACTCTTGGTACTTCTCTGGTCTTCGCTGCTTTAATTATTGTTGATTTCATATTTTTAGTCATCAGGCTTAAAGAACAAAGCATCTTACAAGTTTGATTATAGTCTGGATTAATTGATTAGAATGTCTTCTGATTCATCTCTTTCGTCAACCAAAACACGGTTACACGGTATACGCAATGACATCTTATATTTCAACCGATGTCATACTCCTCTCAACCCTAATTCGCGAATCAGGCAATCAATTCCATTGTAGGTAGCAGGCTCACAGTGCCATTCATTGGCACCATTCATCTCGTTTCCACAGTTTCGGTTAACACCATTGAAGGCTCCAAGGCTTAGTTATCTTCGTACCTGTTCTAAATTCAAGGAAAGCGAGAAAAGCTAACTGGAATTTCATTTAACCTAATCGATTCCAAGCAATTATGTCTCTACGATTTGACTTGTTAAATCTTTTCTCTACTCTCGGTTAATCTTCCACAGGTGCCAAGAGGCGGAATACCCTCATCTAATTGCCAATTTCATCAAATCTTCTTGCTTAAGTCTGTCTACCCAAACCGGGTATGACCTTATACCTTTTTTGGTCAAACTATTCTTCTACTCAATATAATTCAGTTGATTTTTGATTCGGAGCATAGCTAATTGAATTTATTTAGGGGTTGAGGGTTTGATATTAGGCCGATTAACTTAAAGTAGTTTTTTTTTCCATTAATGACCTGATGATATCCGAGAGATATCTTGTTGAAATTTTGAAGTATTTATTGAATGACCCAAATTAGTTTACTACTCATTAGACATGTATTTGTGGAATTTGCAATTTGGTTGATGAAAATTCAATAGTTTATTTATTTCAAGAGAAGCATGTGTATAATTACTATAAGGTATGAAATCAATACGATCAACTTGGCTATGGGAATCAACTTGACAGAAAAAATCAACATGGCTGCCATAGACACGGTTTATTCAGTCTAATTATAACATTATTTGCCAATTTAACACTTTTATAAACTATAACAATTAAACCAGCCATTTATAGAAAGTTAAATTAACAAACTTATATATAATGATGTTCTGTTTAGTTTTGTTATAGACTAAAATAATAGAAATGAAACTAAAGGGGCTGAATCTGGAATTTCCAGACTTGTAGATACAGAAAATACAGGGATCTGTCTATCCCTGATCAAATTAAGTACACAAATGATATATTAATAGAAGATGTAGGTGGGTCCAGTGGAAGTTAAACATTAAGATGGTCACTTCAAAAATCAAAACCATATCTTTTACGATTAACACTACTATGTGAAAGGTCTTGCTTCATATTTAAAGCACATGTAAAAGTAATTGGCTTTCCATCAGCATGTGCACTTTTGAATCTATGTTAACATCAAATCTCCGCAAATGCGAATGTAACCCTCAATAGATAATCAAAGCTGCAAATGAACAAAGAAATTTAGAATTAAAGTATCAAGTAAACATATATATAAAATAAACAAACAATGGAAAAAAATAAAAATAAAATAAATTGTCTACGTGTGAGACCACATAACCATATAGTCTTTAGTGAGCTTATGTAGCAAACCAACAATACCCAATGGTCTATATTTTTTTCTTGCAAATCTATGACCTGTAATCCTTTTCTGCAACAAACTATCAAATTATTAACCGTCAATGTGCATGGCATATAGAATTAAAAGGCTTTCATTAAAAAGCTGTCTAATTTTGGAGAATTGGGACTCCTTGGCTGCAATGTTCCAATTATGGAATCTACTGAAAATAGAAAAAAAAATGAATACATGATACAAGAGATAATGTTTGGGTGTTTTTCGGTTGTTTGAAGTTATAATAGTACCTTTTCAAGAGAGTATTTGGAAATTTTTGTTTTTATAAGGTAGTAATAGAAAAAATCATAGTAAAACAAAGGTATAATAGTAATTTCAATGTACCTTTCGATAATTAGTTTTGTTGCAGCTAGTATGTAACTAAATATTTGACCTCTAAATGATCAGATAACAAAAGTAGGTTACTCAAAACAAATTATTTAAGGTCTAAATGCAAGAAATAACAACGTACCAAATGACCCCTGAATTAAAAAGTACCAAACAGCCCCTGCATTTAAAAAGGTACCAAATAGCCACTGTATCTAAAAAATTACCAAACAACCCCCTAAATTAAAAAGTACCAAACTACCCCTGCATTTAAAAAAGTACCAAACAGACTCTGTATCTAAAAAATTACCAAACAACCCCTTGAATTAAAAATTACCAAACATCCCCTACATTAAAAAAAGTACCAAACAACCCATGCATTTAAAAAAGTACCAAACTACCCCTACATTTAGGTTCTTCTGATGTTTCTTACCCAAAAACAATCTGGCTTCTAACTAGTAGATCTTTATTCTTTACTATAGTTTAATGTTGCTATTAACTTCAGGGTACTAACAATAATTTAATATTTACTTTTCTTTTACATTTTTGTAATAAGTTAGTTTAACTCTTAACAATAATATTAATATTTACCCGTTGGACCGGTAACAAAGGGGAAGGACGTAGTAGGAAAATTCTCTCGGTTTTTGGGTACAATAGCTCGTACCCATAGTTATGCACCATTGACATGTACTTCATGACACAAAGTTCCACATAAAGATCAGATATCGGAGTATGTCTTATACTCCTGGTAAGTTTTTAAGTAGCTTTATTCTTCTATCTTCTTTTATTTTCCTTTCATTTTACTAATTACTAATTTTTTAAGGGAAAATATGATGTGCCCGATGATGCTAATAGTTGGGTTCTTAGGACAATTGGAAATTCATATAAGGTATACAAATGTAGGTTCAAGAAAAAAACACTCCTATCAATTTAAGTACAGTAAACCAGATGAAAGAATCGACCTGAATGCATTTCTCAAGAAGAGTTCTCAAAACTATTAGTTTTATGGAATAAAAAAAGATGTGGCGGTAATTTCATAAACATTTTCTTTATTACTAGTGTTTGTTAATATTTTAGTTGTCTTTTGGTGTATTTTGTCAATTTAATTATATATATTAATGTGTGTGTAGAAACGTTGTTCGCGGGCAAAAGAAATACGCAGGTCTCTAAAAAATATGCACAAGGCTTGTCCAAAAAGTTTTGCTAGAATTTGTGACGAGATGGTAATTAATGTCTTCTTTTTGCTTGTGATTTGTGTTTTTATTTTCCCACACTTTGATACTTTTTGTTTGATATCTATGTTATCATGAGTATAGAAAAATGAAGATCCAAACAAGGAATTCCCCACTCTAACTCAAATGTTTGAACGTACACGTAAAAGGACATATGGGCGTGTATATGTTGATACATATGATGACACGGCAAATAAAATTGTAGTTTTGTATTTCAATTTACAATAGGTTTTTCATTTTGATAGTAAACTACCTTTTTAGACGTTGAAATGCAGTTTTGTAGACGTTGAAATGCAGTTTTTTAGACGTTAAAATGCAGTTTTTTTAGACGTTAAAATGCAATTTTTTTAGATGTTAAAATGCAATTTTTTTACATAAAAACAGTCTTTTGATAGCAGATTTTTGGACATCACATAGCTGTCTTTTACACAATTAAAAAACTGTTTTTTTACATTAAAATGCAGTTTTTTTTACAATATAAACAACTTTTTAATGGTAGATGCTTTAGTAAAACTATCCTATTCATTTTTAATAATCTTGTAGGAACAAATGAAGAAGTACGAACATCGAGAAGATGAAAGTGATGTCGTAGATCCTTATATGATTATGATGAAAAAAGAGTGATGGATATCGTCGACTTTCTGGTAGAGGCGTTAGTAATAGATTGATAAAAAAAGTGGGTGGTGGTGATGCATCATACATGATTCCGGCGGGACTTATGGAATCATTCAAAGCAAATGAACTTGAAAGAAATAAGTTGATTGAAATGCGGAAAGAGATTCAAGAGGACCATGAAAAAAAACAGGCCGAATTAGAAGCTATGCGAATAGATATTAAAAACTAACAAGAAAACTTTGAAGCCATGATGTGAAAGTTGGCGGAACAACAACCTAGAGAATGTCGATAGTTGCTAATATGATTTATCGTCTATGTTTAATACACGTCTTGAATGTTTTTAATACTCTTTTTTTGTGATTATAGTTGACAACTTTGTGTTGACTTTGATTTATGGTTGTTATTTTGAATTTAGACATGTCAATGGAGACCATAAAATTATATAATATATTTATGTTATTATTGATTTTGTGTAATTTTAGTGGTAATGAATATTTGTAGCAATGTAGTAAACATATGCAACGTCTATATGATTAGGAAAAAAATGTCGCATTGAAATTTGAAAAATTTACAAAAAGAAAGTTGCATTTAACTGTAAACAAGGTTGCATTTTTTGCAATTAAAAACATAACAAAGGTTGCATATGTCGTATACAAAGGTTGCAATTCTTTACTAGAAACATAATAAAGGTTGTAATTGATTATAAAAAAGTTGCATTTTCATAACTAAAATAGTTAAAAAAAGTTGCATCTAAGTGTAAAAAAGTTGCATATGAGCATTAAAAAAGTTGCTTTAGCATAACACATGTTGCAATAAAATTTAAAAAAGATTAGCAACTATCTCAAAAAGGGTTGCATTTTTGAAGAAAAAAGTTGCTTTAGATCTAATGCAACTTTACCTAATGCAACCTTTGTTAAAAGGTTGCTTTAGGCATTATGCAACTTTTTCAAGGCCTAATGCAACCTTTTAGCGGGGTTGCATTAGCTTCATTTTGTTGTAGTGACGTCAACATTAATTTGCACTTGATGTTTCTTTTGTTATGTATTAGACTTTGTAGTAGGGAACTAAAATGTAATTTTCTTTCGAATATGATGTAAACTTATAACGATCAATAATTATGGTTGGTACTCCTATTTACCTTGTGTTATGAGACCTTAGCCTGTCACCCTTCGTGTTTCCGCTTTAACGGGGTGTGACAAAACCACTTACTCCTTCGTCTCCATAGAAGGGTCTTGGTTTATTTTCAATGAATTCCTTATAGCTTTTATTTATCTAATCGACTTCATTATCACTTCCTTCTTCCTTAATTGCTATGAGGTTTCCTAACGCATTAGAGACTTGATGTTGAATCAGGGTTCGAATGTTGGTTGGGTCTATTAATGCTAACATTGAAGGGTTGTCATCCTGAAATGACAAAAGGTAGGTTACTCGTTATTCCTAGGTTTGATTAATGTATTCACAACTCTAATCCTTATATGTCTTAATCTAATGGTAATATACTATATCCCTTAATATGGCATGTTACTGTTGCTATCCTAGCAACCTGTATCTTTATCAATTTGTGGGTAGAATTTCCTATTATCTAATGAAGATTTTCATTCCTTGTTGCTTGATTTCTAGCTAGGTCAAGTTTCTAAGGGTTTAGAATAAAATAATCTAGGGGTAAGAAGTGTCATTTTCGAAAATTTGAGTAGTGTACACCGGACATATGTTGTGTGCATCGCACACCAATATCAGATCAATATTTAATGTCGAATTTTCGACATTATTCAATATTTCCTCCTAAAAAGATTAGTTGGTTCCACTGTATCGATCTATCCCCACCAACACGCGATGAGCATGTCGTGCGATTCTTCTACTTCCAGGATTTTTACTAATTGATGGATTTTAGTTGATTTTTGTCTAATGGATTGCTAAGTTAGCTAGTATAACTTCCGATTTTATTACCCCAATACTCAATATCAAGTTTAATCCATGAATCGTCCCTTGATTTGAGTTTTTAGGTTTATGGAAAATTTCTAGGTTTTTGACTAATTATCCCAATTGATGATGTTTTAGACGAAATAGGTTTCTCATTTTTCCTTTATAAGCTTCGCTGCACATCCTATATGATTATCATGTTGATTTTTGGGCAAAAAAACCGATTTTCAGATCTGCTATTCGTCGTATTCTTGGAGCACATCGCGCTGAAGCAGGTACGCCGCGTGCACTCGCATGTTGCACATATTTTGCATGTGCGATCCATTTCAACTCTTTATGCAATATTTTATCTAATCTAATTTCTAATTGCTTTTATCCTTCTTTTTCTACAAGTTATGTCTCGATCGGGTTGTCAACGGGCGGGTCAGTTACCGTCGAACTAGCCATCACACCCCTTTCTGCAGATTCCAGCTGGTATGTCTACCGAGGACCAGAGCTCATTCGTTTATCAGTTAACTGCATTGCTGCCTAGGCAGTTCAACATTCCACAGGCTCTAGTGTGGCGGGTTTCTTATTATCTTAGGTTGTCAACGCCTCTGGAGTCGTATCTCATGCGATTCCTTCGCGATGAGAACGGTCTTGGGATTTTTTCTTGTCGGGGTTGGCATCAAATCTTCATGCTTCAGGAGGTTATTTATCATGATCTTATTTGGGAGTTCTTTTCCACTATGCGGTTCGACGTGCGATCGAAAAATTGGATATATCGATTTGTCTTCTCTTTGTTCCTGGGAGAGGTATCTCACTCCTGTAATATTGCAGAATTGGGATGGCGAGCGAGGATCTATATCGAAGAGGAGGTTTGTAGTCCTCACTTCCTTTCTTATCTAGCCAGCTGCCTTACTTCTCCACCTTAGGAGTACGACTATATGTAGGTATGGGCTCATGCTAGGGGCATTTATTTCTCTAAGACGACCAAGGAGGGCTCTTTTAGATCTCCTATCTTCAGGCTACTCCATCGCCTGATGTCTTCCACCATTTCTGACTGTGAGGAGTGTGACAAGGTTCCTTCGGGTGACCTTTTCCTGACGTGGTGCCTGATCCATATTGAGGTTTGCCTCAACCTCCTTTATACTTTGGCTTTATACTTATCTACCATGGTTTTAGGCCCTTCGATGAAGATTCGGATCTATGGAGTCCATAGGGTTACTCACTTGGCTCTTTCCTATGGGGTTGATACTAGCGGGATGGTTCAGTGTCCTACCAGGGATTTTGGTACGAATACGTTGGGGAGGTTACGGGTAGTGGTACGAAGAGCTGATCAAAAGTGGGGGATTCCTAATGATGACATCGTGGAGCCGATTAGACAGGTAGAGCCGGATCCTGTCCCTGATCCTGCCTTTGTGAGGCAATAGAGACCTAAGCGTGCACCCGAGGCTGCTTGTAAGGAGCCTGTACCTGAGGCCGACTTCCACTACTTGTCTCGTGTCATGGACGTTCTTCAGCAGGATCATCAATCCATCATACTAGCTCAATAGTGGATCATGAAATCTTTTACTAGTATCAATGGGTTTCATGGGATATATTTTCCACCCTTTCCATGAACAGATCCTGGTGCAGGTCCTTCAGGCACGCAGCCGGGTGATATTGGTGATAATGACTATGACGAGGATGAGGATGACGATGAGAAGGAGTACGAGATTAGTGATGAGTGATGATTTGTTTGTATTTTGATACTTTTTATGGGTTTTACATGATATTTTTTTTATTACATTTATGTATTCTTAAACTCTTTTATTTTGATTTATATATGTGTGTGGTTTCTACTTTATAAATTACCGAGTCTATATTCAGATGGTGCTTCGGTTCAGCCAAGACTAAACATAGGTGACCAGGCTACATTTAGTTGTGACTCAACCTTTACACACTAAATTAGCCTAGATAATAAACTTTCATAGTTTGTGTTCTTGATTTGTATACTTGTTGTGGATTGGCGATTATTATTTTTTGTACTTCTAGGCTATCAAATAAGGATCAACCAGATGAGAAGTGCCGGAGGGCAGGATCATTTTAGCATATAGTTGTTTTGGAATCCAGCAACCCAAGCGACAGTTCAAACTAGTCACCTCTCCTATAACTAGTCTATCAATATTGTAATTTATAATACTACTTTAAAGGTTTGAGGATAAACCTTATCAGAGTATATTTCCTGGGCTATAGTCATAATTTCCAAAAGAAGTACTAATTCGCTATAACCTTCGGCTCTAATACCAATCTGTCAAACCCCAGCCGACGACAGAAACGCTGAGGGTTGACCTGCAACACAATCTTAGAACATTAATTTATTTTTCATTGATAATATCAATTACATTGACTAAAACCTATCTATCTTCATGCATCTTTCTCTTCCTTGCGCCGATCTTCTCTTCATCCTAGGAACACATGCGGTTTTTGAAAACGTCAACTTGATGTTGGTGAGTTCACAGGTTTTATATACATATATAAAATTCTTTGAAAACTTTTTGGATCTTTGTTTATGAATAAGTTCCTTAATTCCTAGGATTTCCATATCTAATAATCTTATCTTATCCTTAAGACGTGTTATCTAGCCTAATTTATAAAGTTTACTTTCTTTAAAGATCTTTCTTTCTTTAAGGATATAATACCTATCCTAAACTTTTATAATTGTTTATCAAATTACTTTTAATCGAATCATACAACTACTAAAAGGTGTTCCTCTAGGCAATTTTTAAATTAATATTTTCTGAAACAACATTACCATGAGCCCTTATAATCAACATAGTGGACTGATAAATACCCCACACGACGCTTCTTCGGACGTCAAATAATGTCACAAATAGCAAATTAGGATTAAGAATGTTGATCCTTGTACAAGATGATCTCCTTGTGTAATCTTGCAACATTTCATATAGTAAAATTCAAACTTCAATGCTATTAAGTTCCTACTCTCATACATGGTCATTCAAGTCGAAACAACCTCGTATAAACCCAAAATTCAATCCAATAAACCCAGTCCAATCAATTTTGGGCCTTAGCCCACGGATTTCCGACCCAAATCTCTTATTGGACCAATACTTTTTTATTGGGCCCTATTAGGCCGATAACCTCTTTAATTGGTCCTTTTTGGGCCAAAAACCCCTCTTTGGGCCCTAATGGGCTGAAAACTTCTATTGGGCCAAAAACCTTTAATTAAGCATTGTTAGGCCGAAAACTGCTAATGGGCCTTCCATTAAGCCGAAAACCACTATTGGGCCCCCCATTGGGCCAAAAGTTTTAATTGGTTACCATGGGGCCGAAACCTCATATTTGGGCCCTATCTGGGCCGAAACCCCCTTAAATGAACCGAAAACCTTTCATTAAATACTAGTGGACCGAAAACCCTTATTGGGCCAAGTCAACAACCGATCCCCCCTAATTTTGGGCTCCCAAGTGGGCCGAAAAATCCCCTTGGATCGGTTATAAGCTTGAATAAAAAAAGAGGGTAGATAATAAGG